CGGGCAGCCGGCGGGGGGGGTGGGGAAGACGACGATGTGTGGTCGGGAGGAGGGAAGACATATGCCTGAGCCTTTGCCTTTGGCTCCTACGGCTGACTCTGGCAAGGTCAGGGTGAGTTTTCTTTTTCCCGGCATGATTATATTTGCTGCCTGATGCAGTAGCTGTCGGTGTGGGAGCTGGACACTTCAGAAATGGCCACAGCGATGTCATCGTAAATACATACATGCATGAAATCCACTGAGCTCCTAAGCAAGAGAGCCAGTCGCCGAATATAAACTCAAATGAACTCAAATGCCTGTGATCCGACGTGGAGCTGTTGTGCTGCAAAGCGTGCCAATTTCACCTATGATAAATAGATAAGACTCTCTTGGTATTTGTGGTATTTCCGTGCACTGTGCTGTAATAATAGAAATGACCTTGGATATCACAAAGACCGAGGCTGTTAACTGCAAGTTGCATTGTGATCCCTCAGGTGAATGGCCTTTTTTTTTTTAAAGTATCAAATTATACTGTGCTGCTGTATCATAGCGGACAGACTGTCTACAATGGTGCTGAGTCAGAATAAAGGTCCATTTAGCTGGTATCCTTTCTCCCACAATGGCTGTTAGCAGATTGTATGAGAAAGTACAAGAAAGGAATGCAAGTGGAGACTAATCCTTTCCTCAGTATAACCTCCCTGCTTTTAGTAGGATGAAGTTTAGGGGCTTTCCGAGCAATAACGAGCCTTTAGACCATTATGCTGAATAAACACCAATGGCCCCATCCTAAGATGGTCATACCTTTTATCAAAGCTTCTCTAAAAACTGCCCTATAAAACATCTGTGAGTGGAGAAAGCTGGGTTATACAATTTTTTTTTTTTTTCACCTTTCCAGCATAGGAGTTTATTTTTCAGAGCAGGGATTGTATCTTCTTGTGTATTATGTCTTCCTGTGTATGTAGGACACCACTTAACAGAATACCAATGTATCTGTACCTGTGCCTGTGAATTATTGCAGTTATGATAAGAATCTACCAGCAGAGGTCTCCTAGCTACATATAAAAAGTAATCGTAGCCCAATGAAGTAAAGAACTTCATTAGTATGAAAAAGTTGGGAAAGAAATTGGGTGATTTTTTTTTGTCTTCTTGGTGTTTAAAAAAAAAAAAAAAGAAAGAAAGAACTCAAAGCAGTTGTGTGGGTTGAAAGATAGCTATCGTTTCTGTATAGAATACAAATATGCATAGCCTTTCCAGGCCTGTCACTTAAAGACTGTATTTCATGCCAGCACTTACTTAAAAAAGATTTTTTTCTGAGATTCCTTTTTCTGAGATGTGCACTTGAAGCCAAAATGACTCACACTGGTGTAAGATATTTTCAGCTTTGTCAAAATGCCTTGTTAGAAAGTATTTTGTTAGCTGGCAAAAATGGCATGCATGTTTCCTTTGAGTAACAAAGCACAAACATAGTGCAGGGACCTCTGAAGGTGCTTTTTTGTTAAGTAAAAACAAAAACATCTGCAGCATTTTTTGGTAAGGATTCATAAATATTATTGTTGTCGGAGATCCACATCCTCTGATTCAGCGATTTCTGATAGCTCTACTTTCAGGTCTTAAGACTAACCAGAATCAAGCTATTCCTGTTGCTGCGCGAGTAATGCAAAAACAAATTTCTGTTCAGTTGCCAGTGGCTCATGCGGGTCGTTTCAGGCCACAGGGGTTGCCAGGCCGGGAGGTGGGTTTCCCCAGGAAGGGTTAACCCCCTGACCTGTCCTTGGACACTGTGAGGCACTGGGCAGGTCTGTGCCATGCAGAAATACCTTTGGGAGTTTTGCCAAAGAAGGAAGAGTCGCTCACTGTATAGCTGTTTATAGTGGGAGTCTGTAACAGTATGGGTCACAGTAGGGGTCTTATAAAATAAGCAGAACAGGACTAAACTTTGGCCGGCAGTCAGTGTTTGCAGAATGGAAATACGAAGTCATGCACGATGGCACAAAGTCACGTACTCAACAAGTCAGAGAGTCACAGAATGATAGGGGTTGGAAGGGACCTCTGGAGATCATCTCGTCCAACCCCCCTGCCAGAGCGGGTCCACCTAGAGCAGGTTGCACAGGTCAAGTCGTCCTGGTGCACGCCAAGCCAGCCTGCCCCAAGGGCCGGGGAGTTTGCCCTGTCTTTGCACTGCTACCCGTTTGGGCGAGGGTGGCAGCAGGAGCTGAAGCTGACTGTCGGCAGCAGGCTCTTTCCTTTTCTTGCTGGAGTACCTTGGCTGCCCACGGCTGAGGCACTGTGTTATGGGGTGAAAACTTAGCTGGCCAGCCAGGCTCTGGTTTTAATGTTCCAGATGGAAAAGGCCATGGCACTGGCTGAGTTTTCTAAAGGACATTTTGTATAGTGTCAGAAATGTGAAATGCCTGCTTATCAGCAAAACAATAAAAGGCGATTGTAAAACTGTGCCTTTCTGTCTAGGGAACAAGGGGAGCAACATGCTGTTTTCTGCAGATTTGAAACACAATTCTCAATTAAGTGGAAGTTGCATAACTTGTCCCTTTACTTCACTCGCTGCCCCTCTTGCACCTCACTTTCCTCTTAGGGTTCCCCTGCGCTCCTTCTTACACAAGAGGAGGGGGGAAGATTCCCCTTCCTCGCTTACATAACATGCAAACTAAAGAGCTAACTCATTTAGGCTTCTTGGAAGTGACCTTCTTCATTGGTCACTACCCAGCCTACAACGCATCTCATTTCCTTTACAGATGTCGGGGTCCTTGGGCAGAAGCATAATTTCTGGAAAAATATCTTTCTTCATTTCTCCCCGTCTCTGGTCACTGAGGTTTGTGAAAGGACGTGGGTGCCTCTCTCACACTACACTTGTGACCTCTTAAAGTGCTGAGGAGAGGAGGGGGGTCAGCCACTAATCCAGCCCCACCTGTTTGTAGCATGTGGCCAGATCCTCTCCCCAGCTCAGTCCCATCGATGGTCATTTTCCTTCCAGAATTCACTCCACGTAGAAAACCCTATTTAAACTGGGGAGGAAGGTGGCAGCCGCATGACACTTGGCACAGAAGATCCGTCATCAGATGAGAAAAGAAAGCTCTTCCAGACCACGCATGCCTTGGCACCAGGTGGCAGTGACTGGATATCATTTAAAATACAGAAATCAAAAGCAGCTTAGAGCTCAAACAGAGGAGAAAATCAACTTTACTGAGCAAAGGTCACGGTTTCTCCCAGGGCTAAAATTGTTACCAGAAACACAAGAAGGACGGTTTGCAAAGATTCAGGTTTCAGAGGTGCCTTTGTGAAACCTTCCTCCCACTTGTACGTTCCACAACAAAGAACTGGAAGTGTCAGGGAAATGTTTCGCTGGAAGCCAAGCCAATTTTTAGATGAGGGGAAATTGGGTGGGAAAAAGGAAAATGTTTAAATAATCTGGGGGTAAAGACTCCACGTAACTTTTAGGTGAGAGTTAACAGGAATTTCCCCCCTACTTTTACCACCCATCTCTGGATGTTGTGGGGAAAGGGTGTCCGCTTCCCACCGAAGTGAGCCACAGGGGTGCTGGAGGCGCTTGTCGGTCCCCCATCCCCATAAGCTGTAGCAGCTCCTCCTGTTTCCATCTTTTACTCTGCGTTTGCTCTTGTGCAGGGGCAGCAAGCAGAGTATCAGGAGAAGGTTAAGCTCTGTGGGCGTAACATGGGGCAGGTGACCGG